ATTTTTTGAATTGAAAAGGAGCGGGAGAATATTATTGTAGCCAATTGGAAGAAAATATATCTGAAGTGTTTTCTATTGGACAATATTATGTCGTAACTTCGATAGGCCTTGCATTCCGTCGTTCCCTGTACGACACTCGAATGTCGGTGCTGCGTGGAGCTCAAACTTCGTGTTCGTCGTGCTCGCCGAACCAGTGCATCGACCAGCGTCCTCTCTCAACGCCATCAAATCGGGCGCTCCGAGGTAGAAATCGCGCAAGTTGGACAAGTCTAACTTGACATCTCAAGTTTATTACAACCGACCAAGCCGCGGCACGAACGATCGGGCTGTGGGCATCCACTTCAGACGAGAATGGTCGAGCGTATTTTGGGAGGTGCGTGCGTCGAGGTGCTCTCGGCTGTGTGTATGGGAGCTTGCTCATCCAGTCATCGCAGGGACATCGATTGCGACTTGAAGGCAAGTTGCCGCGATGTCGTAGCGTCGGTGCGTCTTTGGGACAAGCACGATTATGCCGACGCATTATGGATCAAACCGAGTGGGAACGTCGCGTCCGAGGCGTTTTGAAGCCGTATGGAGCAGGTACGACAAGCAGCACGTGCTTCGATGCCACTCCTTTCGCCCCCCATGCCTCCATTCGACGCAGAGCCTCATCAGCTCGAAGCCGTGAAGCAAGGCTCAGCTTGGTGACTAGGTGCTTCGTCACGGATACGTCTGGTTGGAGCCGACATGCCGTGCTAGCGAGTACAGTTTGCCATAAAGTCTCAGGATGCATCTCATGGATCGTTTCCATCACAGTTGGATGTGCCACTCGCGTCAACTGTTTACACTGGCATTCATTGCGATTCGAGTGATCGAGCGCCTCATGGAAGCCTTCCACCGTCACCGCCTTCCACAGCGGATGGAGGTCCCGACACCACGCGACAACCCGCTGGATGAAGCCGGCCCGTTGGCCGCAGCTTGCCACGCCTTGCAACGTATATGTACGTCCACAGCCGCCGACGACCTCCACAATCTGCTTGCTCGCATCGCAGCCACTTGTGTGCAACGAGTGCTGAATCGCCAGTACGTGTCGCAGTCCGGCACTGCATGGCGACGTTGTGCGAGGACGCCATCGCGCTGCACGACGCAGTGTATGCCGTAGCAACCTTGTTCACGTCAACGCTGGCCTCGTGCCGCACGGTAGTTGACTGGGCGGGACGGGAAATGGAAAAGGCGCTCCTCGCGGCACCGCCTTCGACAGCGGGCGAGACTTGTCCCTTGGCGCAAGACACCGCACAATCCTTCAAGGCGATCGCACGGAGAAACAAGGCGGCGAAGAGGAAGAAGAAGCGTGCCATTGCGAACGAATACAACGTACCCTCGTCACAGTGTCATGCGTGGTCCACAGAGCGCAACGACCACCACAGGGGTGGCTCCATCCTCGACGCCACCCCCGACAGAGAGCAGCAATGCGTCCACACCTTTCACGGCCATAGAGGACTCCTCTGGCATGCAACCACCAGGCAACTTTGAAACACCATCGATGATGCCGTCCGCGCTGAACACGGATGCTGCTCCATACACATACCGCCACTCGGCAGAGCTGCTGTCTCTACGGTATCCCAATGACGGCAGTGTATTGCCCATTACCGTCCACCATGACATCGTCGACATGGCGAGCTCCTTGCACGACATTGCGGCGCGGCGCCGTCCATGGCAGCTATGTGTGCTGTCGCACGTTACGTAGCGTAAGAATAGTTTACAGTCCAACGCACTACCTCACTCGCTGTGCCTTTAGGCGAGCACGTTGTCGGTGACCCGGCGATTCCGCTGGTGAAAGTCACAACTGGCACTGTCCCCACCACATCCGACGGCAACGACCGCGGCGTGCGACTCCTCGGTGCCGGCGCCATCCATGTCGACATTTCCTTCGACCTGCCCTCCCATCGGGGAAGGGAAACGTCTGTGTTTGTCGAGCGGCTCGTGCGAAACAGTGCCGAGATCACGCCGCTCGTCCTGGTCCTCAAGCAATTCCTCCGTCACCACAACGTCCGCGATGGTAGCCGCTCCTTTGTCGATGTCTTTGGAGTCGCTGATTCTCTGGCGCAGGTTTACTCGGGGGGCCTGTCACCGTACTCCCTCACGCTCTTGGTGGCGGCGGTGGTCCACGACGTCCAGAAGCACCGGCCCTGGCACGAGACCAACAACCAGCCCAACCTTGTCGTTTTCCTCATGACTTTTTGCACGTGTACGGCACCTTGTTTGGCCCGCATGTTTTGTTTGTACAATGCTGCAGTGCTGCCCAAAGGAACTGCTCTCATGGGACAAGCGCAGGACTCATCCTGGGCGCGTCCGGTAGCGGATTTCTTGCACACAAGGGCAGTCGGTGGAATGACATGGGGTTAGTCGTTCAAGACCCGTTGCGGCCCGACGTGAACGCAGCCAAATCATGCTTTGCATTCGCGCGCGTCCAAGCGGCGTTCCAGTGTGGTTTCCGTCGAACACTCAACGCAATCGAATCCGATGGTTTGTCGACGTGGCGCCACCAGATTTTGCTCGAATGCTTGTTTGAGACCACACATCATGACGTCGTGGTGAGCATGTTGCAGCTCGACTAGTGTCCCACCAGCGAGTTCCTGGACGACGAACGCACCAGTATCGAGTACGCTCGACAAGTGTGGGCTGCGGACGCCATGGCGCTGCTGCTGCATCTTGGAGAAGCTGTGTGCGTCATGTGCGGTGGGAGTTGTGGTGTCCACGTGCCTCGCTGCAAGCTCCGCAATCTGCTTGCGCGATTCCAGGAATTGCCGCGACGCACCTATCAACAGCTCAACTTTGCATAGAATTGGGGGTTTGTGATATTTTGGCCAACTTATTCATTTGAATAACATATGCGACAAGATTTAGTGAAATGGGCTTGAATTCGAAATATCTTGGGCATTATAATAGTATTCGCTCGAATTTTGAACCGACCAATCCACGCAAGCGCACTCAATCCAGTGAGTGGAGCGAGCATGACTCGACCGGAGGCGCAGGTGAAGGACGCGACGAGCATCCAGCGGGCTCTAAAGGAGCTTGGGAAGGCAGCCGACCTTGCCCGCGAGCGTGAGAAGAAGGTGGATGTGACACCACGATTCCAGAGTCTGTCCACCTCCAGTACGTCGATCGAGTCGATGTATGTCATGGACCCTGCAACAACACGTTGGGGTCCCGACCTCGTTCCGTCGACGGAGCTGATACCATGGCCAGCCAGCGTCCTCGAGTCGATTCGACGCCAGCCGTCGACGACCGTTCCGATGGGCCTCTTTCCTGAGATTCAACATGCATGGGCCGTTGTCGACGCAACATCGCTGATGCTGTGGGATTACAGGACGCCATCGGCGGGGGTCGTGTTGTGCCCAGTGGTATCATCTCCCATCGTCGCTGCGGGTCTCGTACTTCCGCTGCCAGGAACCCTCTTCAGCGATCAGGTGCAGCATCTCTTGGTTATCTTGACCGAATTGGACGTTCGTCTCTTCGCGCTCATCGTCGACAAAGCCGCAACAACGGCGTCGACCCGTCCGTGGAAAGTTATCGACACGCTCATGACGGCGCCGCTCGCCAACACACAGCTGTGCACGTCCATCGTGTGCACGCCATCGCGCCGCATCCTGCTCGGTGGGATCGACGGCACTTTGTACGAGTACGTGTACAGCCCGAATCTGCCGCCGACCGACAACCCTGTCAAGTTTCGGTGCGTCCAACCTGCTGTCACGTCGCCATGGGCCGCGTACCTTCCCAATGTCGTTCGCGATTTGCTCTTTCCATCACCCAACGCGGCGATCGCCGCGCTTGTTGTGGACGCGCCGCGTCGATTGCTCTATGTCACATACGTGCACTCGAATGTCGTCAGCGTGTACGACATTCGATCCGACATTGTGCTTGCGTCGTCTGTGAACCTCACGGACTTGGCGAGCCAAACACTCGGTAGCCACGTCGCGTTGGCGCCCTTGGCGGCCATCGCCCCGATTGACTCTTCATCGAGTGTCCAAGCAGTTGCTCTAACCACGACAGGTCAACGACTCGCGCTCGCCTTTGACCAAAGCTACACATTGAAGGCGCTGTACCTCCGTGCAGTGCCGCCGGCTCTCGCGCCTTCTTCCACGATGCCCGGAGGGTTCTCTCACATCGTGGCGCAACCAGGAGGCGTCACGCTGGTTGGCCATGCCAGTGCCCACCAATTCGTCTCGCTGGCGGCTACTGCTGCTGTCCCTCCGTCGACCCAAGTCGTGGAAACAGCCACCGTCTTGCCTGTCCTTGGCACACTGCATTCGTTGGTGGCCATTCCGTCTTCGACCCCGTCGCTCCCGCCAAGCTCGTCGTCATCATGTGGTGCAAAGCGGTCGGCCGATGGTTCGGTCAAGGCGCCATCGTCGCCACTTGACGTTCTGAAGAACCTGGGCACGTTTGGCACCCAATTCTCGTCGACCCCGGCGCAATTCCTGGCCCTGTCGTCCGAGGGAGTCCAAATCTATTCGCAAACGCGACTCGTTGACCAAGTCGACACCCTTCTCCGCCGATCCGCGTCGCTGGCTCCGGTCGTCGAATGGTACGGCGCGCCCCAAGTGGCGACGGTACTCTTTGGTCTGTCCCACAATCCCGCGGCCGCCCACGCCGTCTGTGCTCTGGACGCTGCCGATACCAGTCAAGGGCTCGTCCAGTACGTGGCGTACGTCCTGGCGCCGGTATGGGCTGCCCCCCTTGCACAGGCCCCATCGACGAAACCCCTGCAGTGGACGCTGGACAAACTGAACGCCCTCAAGCACGTGCTCGAGCAAGTCGTGCCGCTGGCTCTGGCGTTGCACACCGACATGGACATTTCCCTCCTTCAATCCCACCATGTGGTCATTCGAGACATCCATCGGCTCGTCGGACGATGTGGTGACGCGCTGTTTGGCTGGCTACAACTGTCGGCACTGTCCAAGAAGGAGTGGCCAAAGGAGGCTGGTATTCCCTTCCACGACGTGGTGGGGACCGAGGCCGGTGCCGCGACGTTTCAGGCGCTCTTGATCAATCTGGCCAAGGATTCGCCGACAGTCGTTCCGCGGCTCCTGGCGCACAGTTCGGCGTTCTTTTCGGTGTGGGAAGCGGCGCCATACCAAGGCCTTCAAACGATCGCCGCTGCCAAGGTACTGTGCCAATCGCAACCTGCAGGTGCTACATCGACTGGTAGGCGGCCGTGACATTGAGTGGCCGGGACACACTCCTGCAGGAATCGTTGACACAGCTGCGTCAAAACTGCGCGCAGTGGCCACCGACAAAACCGACGCTGCAATTGCTCCGCCACATTCTCAAAGAATACGCCGCCGCGTCGTTCTACTATGGCATGGTCGAGATAACCGTCGCGGTTGCGCGCGTGTTCACCGCGGCGACGACGACAACGACCGTGCCCGCATCGGCATGCTACGACACTCTCCTCACGTTTGTCGTGACGAGGGAGACTCAGGAAGCTGTGGCCAAGTACGCGTGCCAAGCGAACGACGGCGGCTTGTTGGAGGAAGCCGTGCTTCCGACGCTTCCTGACCTCTCTGTGCTGCAGAGCTGCCCGTGGACTCGCACGATCCAAACATTCTTGCAAACCAACCACCCCGACTGGTACCAACCTCCCCGATCGATAGGACGGATGGAGAGTTCATGGCGATGCGCAGAGCTCATGGCATGTGTACGCAGGTTTGTGCGGCTAAGCATTCACCACCACAACGAAGAAGCTGCAGCCGAGTACCTGTGGACGGAAGCGCATCGAATCCCGTCCAGTCGAACGATTGGCGAACGCGCCGCACTCCTCGCCCGGGCACTTACGTGTGTGCAAGCGACCGGGAACGCCCAGCACATTGCAGATGTCCAAGATGCCCTCGATGTGTTTCAAATGCAGGTAAGATGCACCTGCCGATGTCCGATCCACGGGCGGCTCTCTCACGTGCGTGCGGCAGACACGGGTATACGAGACGTTGCGGCACCAAAAAGTGCCGTCGGGGGTTTTGACTACGCTCCAGTCGACCATCTTGAACATGTCGACGCTCTTCAACGAGTACGCAATGGAGTATGGCCTCCACACCGAGTGCCTTCGCATTCTCCACGCGTGTCGAACGAATGTAAGTCCTGCTGTCGTCGGTGCACGCGTTCGTCTCGTTAATGTATCTGTACATCCTCTCCATCGACCGCTGTAGGAGCCGTTGCTCATTGCGTCGCTGTGGAAGCAACTCATCTTTGGCTTCATACCGCCATGCTCGTCGCCGACCTCGCCCGAGATCGTGGCGAGTTGGATCCAAGGTCAACATGCGTCCGTGGGCCAGGACCCGTCGTCGACGGTCGGGTCCTTCGAAGACATGGCATGGGTCGCACCGTTGCGATCGTACGTGCTCCAGATGGGCGCGTCGCTCCTGCACTCTGGCGCAGACTACGTGTTTCCTGTCCAAGATCTCGTGGAATCCCTCGAATTGGTGCACTTTTACGCCCGGCAAGTGGACGACTCGATCGACTCGACGTGGGTCGCCAAGATTTTTCTCGATTTGAAGTGTGTGCCGCCGCCTCTGCTCGTGGGAATTTACGCGCATTTGAAGCACCAACACGCGTCGACATCGTCGCCGACAGAAACCTTGCTGGAACTGCACTGGATGCTCGGCATGCATGCCATTGTGGCTGCGGCCACCGACCGCCGCCCGTTCATGCCGCTCATGCACGAGCAGATTGCGATCCTGGAGCGCCACCCCGATGCCTGCGGTGCGTTTGTCGACGATTCCTTGCCCGTTTGCGCTGAAACGCGGAGTGTGTTTTTTGTAGATCAACTCGTCCGGTGGCAGCACTTGCTAAAACGTCTGTAATGTTAACTTGACGTGGATGCTGCCCGCGTTGACTTCGCCGTCGCCGCGCTTCCACACGCGGTCGCGGCCTTTCTTGCCGAGGACTCCCAGCGCCGTTTGCTTCATCATCGCGCCAAGACCTTGAATTGGCCGGACGACTGCACCTGCCATCCCGAGGCCCACGCCTTTGGCGAATCCGCCCCAGCCGCTCCGCTTGGCGCCACGAATCGGGTCCAAGACGATTCCCGTGATGCCGGTCACGACCCCTTTCGTCAGTCTAGAGGACAGCAGACCCGTCGTCGTTAGAAGCGAGTAGACATTGCATCTCGAGCACACGCATGGCCGCACACAGGTCAAGCGATAGCGCACGCACCCTTCGCCGGCCGCCACCATGTGATCACCAAAGTTTTGGGGCCACTCGCGCGGCATCGTGGTGAGAATCCACATGCTGACTGGCTTGTCGCTGTCGAGTTGCTGCAGGCGGTCGCAGTCGACGACGGCAGCGCCCATTTTCCGATCGGGTTGGAGTTTGTTGTAGCTATAGACCTGGACGACGAGTGGCGACTGGCCATCCCACGACAGCCGGAGGGTTTCGTTCCACGACGGGTTGAGCGAGTGCTTCACGGCGTGGCTAGAAATCACTTGGTCGCCCAGACGAAATGACACGTACGGGTCGGAGCTCCCGTTCACGTCCATGGCGGCCAGCGACGATCCTTCCAGCAACTCGATCGTGACGATGCCAACGTACTCGACCATCCCGCACGATCCGTGCGACGACACAGCGACCTCTACCCAACGAGTTACGAAACTCGACGACATGGTCGTCGTCAACGTACGGCGAGGGGCGTGTATGGGGGTCGTCGTGGGGGAGGCCAGGATCGGTTCTTGGCGGCGCTTGTTTGGCCCCATCCGAAAAGCTTGCTCAACGTACTTGAGCTGGATGTAAGCGGCGCGGTCGTCCCGCATCGCGTCGGCGTCGGGCTTCCGAACCGAGTTGGGGACGGAAAACTCGAGGTGGTCGTTCAGTTTGGTGTTGCCGCCGTTGACGACCGCCGCCAGTTGGGACGGTGTCCACTTGTCCAGGGTGCAGCTCAGGACAAATGAGATGTGCACCCCGAGCGACCGATGCACCCCCGCGCACTGGGTGCAGATGAACCCGCCGTACGTGATCGTGGCCCATCTACGATCACGTGACGAGAGTCCTGTGGATGGAAGTGTGTACTTTGGATGGAGCGCCTGGCAATCGGCGCAGTGCTCGTTGTCGTCGAGGGCCAAGAGCGCACCGAGCGCGGCCGACGATTCCTCGACGTCCAAGTGCTCCTCGGCGACAGGATCTAGCGTCAGCGACCCCGCGCGTTGTGTCAATTCGTGGTCAAGCAGCTCTTCCGCCGTCACTTCGTCCTGGTTCTCCATGTGCCGAGGCCGTCGTCGGCCGGCACAAGACAGCACAGTCGACGGCAGCGGCACGCTGGCGGCAGCGTCGACCGGCATCACGGTCGACCTCCGACGAAAGAAATATGATATCGTGACCGTCCGGCCCAACGATGCTGGGCACGCGTTCAGTTGGACGCCGGTAGGTCGTTACCCACGGAAACCTATTTTTAGCGGCCCCGTCGTGCATGCAACAGCACCACCACGAGCCCAGACAACCCGTTCGGTTTCCTGGCGCGAGAACAGTGCTGGGCCGCCACGGTGCGTGCGTGTGTGCTCAACGGGACGGCTATCCTTTCCAACGAGTCTAGTGGTAGCGAGGACGCGGTGTGCGCATCGGTGGCTCGAGCGGCATGGCTGCAGCATGGCCACCACCACCACCTCGTGAGTTTCACGCGGATTGAAATTGAGGGAGGGTGGAGTGAGTTGGGCGTTGGCAGCAACGGTAGCTCCGATTGTCGCCGTGCCAAACGTTGGGCAAGGACCGATCCGCTGGCCCGGCGCAGTCGTTTTCAGAGCATGGCCAAGGAAGAAAGAGGGGGAGCAGGGGGTTTCCGTCGGCAGAAATTGTGTTATCGATCGTAACGTGTTGAAGACCTGCGCTGGCCGAGTAGGGGGCTGCTCGTGCTGCGGGCGACAGCCGTGCCAGTCGATCGTTTCTCGAGAGATAGGGTCAACGTCGACATGGTTGGCACGGACACGTTCGTTTGTGGGATCGTCGCGGGTGGTTGCCGCAGCGTCGCGAAACTCCGCGCCATGCGCATTTGCCGCTCAATGTCGACCTTGCGCGTCTCTCGCATCCGCAGAGCTTGCTCTAACTGTTGAAGCTCGACATGCCGTCGGGTTTTGGATTTGTGAGCCAGTGCTTTCTGAACTCGGTCGCGTTCGAATGGCCGAAGGGGTGGCGACGCGTGAAAACTCAGCCCTTTCTTGACCCGGGACGTCAAGTTGTTGGAGTAGTGCGTTTCATGCGCGTACAGGTCGGCGTCGTCGAGGACGGGGCCACGTCTGGCGGGGCCCGCGACGTGGGGCAAACTCGACTTGTCGAGCTCGAGTACCACCGACGGGGGGACGGTGCGCACTCGGACGACTGGGGGGGATGTGTGTACTGCAGCAGGCAGTTGGTCCGACAACAGAGGGGGTGGCGACAGAGCGCGAGGCTTCGGATTGGCGCATCGACTAGGGTCGAGGCTTTGTGTGAGGGCATGCAGATCGGCTTCGGTTCGCACCGGGCTGTGCAGTTCAACGTCCAGTGGCGGGGGATCCAGCTCCATGAAGACGGGGACGATACGAGCTTGAGGGCGCCGGGATTGTGGCTCTCGTGGATACTCTCGGGGAAGTGGTGGCCCGAGATGTATGTCATCGGCCGCGGCTTGGGCCGCGAGCTTCGCCTTCTTTTGTTTGTACAACTTGCGTTGGGTTTCCCGGTACGTCTCTAGCTGCGATTCCTGTTCCACCATGGTGAGCGGCCGCGACCAGTCGACCGTCACGTTTGTCTCTTCCTGGTGGGGCTCGCTCCACCCATACAGCGCATCGTCATCGTCGAGATCCAGCGGCAGCTCGTCATCGTATCGGGCCTTCATCGCGAGCTCAGACGACTAATTTTAGCGCGTCCAGAGCCCAAGGCTAGCTTGCCTTTGGACATTTTGATGGTAGATCCCGTTACGTTCTCGTCATCGCGATTCGGCTCACTACTTCTTAGACAGTTTGTCAATGCTCGTTCCAGGCGTCAGCGATGCCGCTGCTTTTGCCAGTCTGCCGCCGCCATGGACCAAGTGGGCACACAACGAAATTCGAGGTGAAGTGTGCTGTGTAGCACGTTTACCAACGCGATTCCAGCAAATCCGACGTATCTCCTAAGGGTGGGCGTGCTGGCAGGCGAGGTGAGAGAGGATTTGCCGCCATGCAAGATGCGTCCAAGGCGTCGTGTCGTGGGTGGCTCCACTGCCGGAATGCTTCTGAAGTCGCCGCACCACACTGTGCCTGCGTTCTAGTACATTGCGACGCAACGGCAAGGACAAACAGCACAGCGCGTCATGCACGTCAAAGGCGTTGAAAGCCTCCACTGGCATCGACATGCAGCATCCCCACGTTGGTTTGTCGCTCCCGTGCCATGGCTATTTTGAAACCGCCGACTCGATTCTAATTGGTTAAAATTCCCAACGATGAAGAGCCAATCCGGTGCGTCGACATGTTCATTGCGTCGAGGATTTGTGTTCAATTGTGACAGGGAGGCCAGCGGAGTGGTTGGTTAGCAAGTTGAAGTGGCTATTGAGTGGTGTCGAGAGGCTGGCAGGTGGCCGACGCTAGCGTACTTTGCAATCTCCTGGCCCGATGGTAAAGCGAAAGAAGCATGACAAGGACAAGTACTACAACTTGGCCCGGCAGCAAGGCTACCGCGCGCGGTCCGCCTTCAAGCTGATCCAGCTGAACAAGAAATACGACTTTTTGTCCAAGGCCAAGGTGTGCATCGATCTATGTGCTGCGCCGGGCGGGTGGTGCCAGGTCGCAGCCAAGTACATGCCAGCGTCGTCGATCATTCTCGGGATCGATTTGCTGCCGATTCGACCGATCCGCGGCGTCAAGACATACGAATGCGACATCACGACCGCGCGGTGCCGGCAAATCATCAAACAAGAAATGCAGAGCTGGTCCGCGGACGTGGTCCTGTGCGACGGCGCCCCCAACGTCGGGTCGGAATACTCCAAGGACGCGTACGTGCAAAACGAACTGGCGCTCATTGCGCTCAAGCTCGCCGTCGACGTCATGGGCAAAGGCGGGACGTTTGTGTCCAAGGTCTTTCGCTCGCAAGATTACAATGCGCTGCTGTGGGTGTTCAAGCAATTGTTCAAAAAAGTGAGCGCGACCAAGCCGCTGTCGTCGCGTAACGAGTCGGCTGAGATCTTCGTCGTCTGTGAAGATTACCTCGCGCCGCACAGCATCGACCCCAAGCTCCTCGATCCGGAGCACGTGTTTGCTCAGCTCGAAAAGGAAAAGGACTCTGGGCTCACGATCTTTCATCCAAAATACGGCCAGCAAAAGCGCCATCGCGAAGGTAAACGTGCATGTGCCGTGTGTCGGCTTCATGATCTAGAGTCTCTGGCTGTCGTTGCACCTTCCATGGACACGCCAGCGCTACCTGGAGCCCACAGCAAAATCAAGCGGCGGCGCGACCATGCCATTTCTGCATGCGCCGCGCCGTCGAGATCTATGACATTTTCCTCGAGTGTTGATGCCTTGTGTGCTGCACGAACCTCAGGACGAGACCGGCTAACGTGTGGTGGCTGTGTCTAGGCTATGACGAGTCGTTGGGGCAAACGCTGACCCGGACGCTGACTGTGTCCGACTTTATCGGGTCCATGGACGCCATTCGCATGCTGACTGACGCCACGTCGATCGCGTTCGGCCCGGACGATGCCTTGTACAAGAACCATTCCGCCACGACCCCCGAGATCACAACTTGCTTGGCAGATCTCAAGGTATGTCGCGTCTCTAGCTCTGCGTGTCCATGGAGAATTGTGTCGTCGTTGTTGGTGGTGGATGCTCAAGCGTGATGATCTAATTCCCCTCGTGAATGTCGGCCCGCTGTTGTCTTGGCGCCCGATTAACTTCGGGACAACCCACCTTGAGCCAGCGTCGCTGCTGCACGATCAAAGCACACCAGTGCAGTCTGACTTTTGAGTCGTCCACCCACCGTCGTCTTCCGTTCCTCTTCCTTTGCATCTGTGTGTGGTTCATGTGTTCATGACGACCGCATAGGTTCTTGGCAAAGGGGACTTTAAAAATTTGCTCAAGTGGCGGACCAAGATGCAAGTGTACCGCGACGAACTGCTCAAGGCGGACGCGCCCGAGGATGACGAAGCTGTTCCCGTTGAACCCGCGCCCGTTCGCGAACTCACGGAAGACGAGAAGAATGCTGCCGTCCGTGAAGAGTTGGCGCAGCTTCGCGCCAACGTCCTTGCCAAGAAGAAGCGCGACAAGAAAAAGGTTCGTCTCGAAGTGTGTGTGTGTGCGTATTTGTGTGGCGGCGATGATGGATCGCCGTGTCGCCCTTCGCGGGTTGGAGTTTTCCCAGTGGCCGCTGACTCTGTAGTCAGTGCGATGGACTAACCCTCCCGCCCCCGTAACCCTCCTACATCGTCTTGCCGCCACTCGAACACGCAGTCGTCGGTCTCGATCGGCGGCGCTGTGCCGGGTGGCGCACATGCCTCGGTGTTCGCCTGCGTGTGTGTAGTTTGCATGTGGCTGTATCCAAAAGTCCGTGTTGTTCGACATCGCTTGTCCCCATCAACATCGCATGGTCTTTGAACGGACCGACTATTGAAGTCAGCTAGAGTGATCTTCTCTCGATCCTTCAGCTGTATCCCTTGCCAAGCGCCGTGCGAGTGCGATACCGTTTGTGGCTCGAACATTTAGAGTGTTTTTCGTCGACGATGCGCGGGTTGATCTTGTGGGACGTTGCTGACCTCTCGACGCTGTAGGAGCGGGAAAAGAAAGCCAAGGAGCGCGTGCGTGCCGCCTTGGGCATGAGCGAAGCCGGCATCGAACTCACGGACGACGCACAAGCGTTCAGCCTCAAGAAGCTTGGCGTGAAGAACGTTGCCGACCTCGACGACGGCGAGTACATGTCTGCTTCGGACGGCGACGACGAGGTTGTCGCCCCTGGTGGCACTGGCGGCGACGATGACGATGACACGGCATACGATGCGCTGCTCGAGGCGCAAATGGACAAATTGTACGAAAACTACATCTCCCGCAAGGGCGACGGTGACAAGACCAAGAAGGCTGTCAAGCGCACCAAGATCGCCAAGCGCGCGCTCGCCGGTCAAGCGCTGGTGGAGGACCACGCGATGTTTGATGGAGACCAGGAAGCGTATCGCAAGCTGATCAACCCGGACGAGGTGAGCGATCGCTCCAACTATGTGTTTTCTTCATCCCCATGACGTGTTATCTGTTCCGAGTTGGTCCGTACTCTTGTTCAGTTGTCAAATCATGGGCAGAATACTTCCGGGACACCTTCATGTCTGACCCGTCGCGCCCCCGGTTGCGCTTCGAGTCCTACTGGCGTCCAACATACCCTTTGTGTGCTCGAGCGTATAGGTCGCTGACGTGTGTTGGTAGAGCTCGGACGAAAGCGACGACGATGAAGTCAAGGCCGCCAACCCCCTCGTGGTCTCGCTCAAACGCCCCGAGCGCCCCAGTGCCGTCGCGTCTCGATGGTTCTCGGGCAGCTCGCTTTTTGATGACGTCAAGGACGAGCTGCCCCAGGTGGTTGTAGACAAGGACGGCGATGCGCTGCCGGCGATGCCTCTGACGGACAAGCAAAAGCGCCACCAAAAACGCAAGGACGCAATGGACCGAAAAGAGCGTCGTTCCGCCAAGAAGCAGCGGTTGGAAGACGAAGAGCTCGCCAAGTTGGCGTCGGACGACGACGACGGATTCCTCGATGACGACGCCACGGCGCACGCCAAAGAGCTGGCGCGGAAAACCCCGCTGACCGCCGCTCAATTGCAGCGCAAGAACGAAAAGGAAGCCCTGATCAAGGCCGGCATGGGCACCGCCGCGCCGCCCGTAGCCGCGAGTAGTACATTTGAAGTCGTTCAACCGGACGTCGAGTTGCCCGTGATGGACTCGCGCCAGTACGACAGCGACCATGAAGACTACGACGAAGAGGACAAGGCGCGTACGATGGCGATCGCGACCATGATGCTTCAGAAGCACAAGGCCAAGGACATGATCGACGACTCGTACAACCGATACGCGTGGAACGATCCAGCCGACCTCCCCGACTGGTTCTTGGACGATGAAGAGCGCCACTACCGCCCGCAGTTGGCCGTGCCGAAACATCTCATGGACCAAATGAAGGAACGATTCATGGATATCGCGACCAAGCCCGTGAAAAAGGTGGCGGAAGCCCGCGCCCGCAAGCGCCGCCAGACGCTCAAGAAGGTCAAGGCCGCCAAGAAGAAGGCCAACGACATTGCCAACTTGCCCGACATGTCGACGCGCGAGAAACTCAAGGCGATCGACAAAGCCATGAAGGCGGCCAAGACGAAGAAGGAGTCCAAGTTGTACGTCATCAGTCGACGCGGACGATCCGCAGCCAACACGAAGGGCTTCAAGAAGGGCGACAAGGGCGCCGTCAAGGTTGTGGACCCGCGCATGAAAGCAGACAAGCGCAATGCGGAAAAGAAAACCAAACGCAAGGGCGGCAAGCGCAAGTAGACAACAACCTGATAGAACAACTCTTAATTTATTGGTTATCGTAACACAATGGAAAGGTGTTTGGCTGCTCTGACGGCACTCGAACTGTGACGACCCATTGATCAAGGGGCTTGAGTTGGAAGCGGACGAAGGGAGGTGTGCTGCTTGTGGTGGGGCTTGCTCCAATGTCGGTAGCACACCCCTCACGCAGCGGCGGACTTGCGCGCTAGCGCTACCACTTCAATCGACTGTTGCTGGTTCGATTCAAACGAAGACAAAAGAGCGACGCATGGCTCCTTTCGATGGAGCCGACGTGAAGCGTGCGCCAAAGCAGGCCGACTCCGGAACGAGCTAGTCTTTGTGTCACATCACGCGGGTCAACGTGTGACCTACTGAAACGAGTTCATCCGAGCCAGCTTTGACACACAGCGACACTGTTTCGATAAATAGCGCATTAAATAGATGGGGGGAACGAGAGCTAGTCCAGGTCGCATGGACTTGGTGGCTCGCTCCGCGCCGTGCCGTACAGGTGGAATTGGTTGAGTTCGCCCATGAGCACCCTGACGATGTCGGCGAAGGACGGGCGTCGGTCCGGGTTGGCGTGCCACGCGCGCCGCATGAGCTTGGCAAAGTGCACGGGGCAGTCGTCCGGGATGCGAGGCCGCGTCCCCTGGAGCACCGCCTCTTCGACGGCCAAGACACTGCCAGGGATGTCGCTGTACGGCTGCTTGCCTGTGTAGAGCTGCCAGCAAATGATCCCGAAACTGTACACGTCGACCTTGAGGCTGTACATGGTCTGCTCTTCCTCGGACAAGACCTCCGGCGCCGCCCAGCACACAGTGCCGACGCGCGACGTCATGAGGAGTGCCGGACTCGAGCTGCCGTCGCTGGACTCGTTTGGCGGGTCGGGCAGTCGAGAAAACCGGGACGTGGCACTGCTGAACAGCGGCAGGTTCGTCCGCCGAGTGTCGAGGTCTTTGTCGGTGGTGGTCGTCGTAGTCCGTGGCGTCGCTGTCGGGTGTTTCGACGTGCTCGGGTCGGCGCGGAAGAGCCGCGAGAAGCCAAAGTCGACCAGCTTCAACGTCGTGTGGGTCTGGTCAAAGCAGCAGTTGAGTGGCTTCAAGTCCCTACGTCACCGAAAATGACGTCTCCTGTCGTCCACTCGATCGACGTACCGGTGGATCACTGGCACGGCGAGCCCGTGCAAAAACTCCATCCCAGACGCGATCTGCAGCGCGTACAGCAGCACTTGCTCGTACGGCAGCGGCTGCACTGTGTCGATCACGTCCTGGAGGGTCCCGCCACCGAGATATTCGCACACGAGGTAGAGCGTGCTCCCGACCGTGTAACACCCGTACGTGGCCATGATGTTGGGGTGGACGAGCTTCGACGCCAAGTACGCTTCTTCCTGAATCCCGTTCAGCGTCGAGTTGGCGCTGTTGCGTTCCAGCTTGAATGTTTTGACGGCGACGGGGAGGCTCTGCTGCCGTCGGGCGGTCATGGTGCGTTGCTTCATCCCGTGCGATTGATTTCTCTGCAACATGCAGTCGAGGACGCTGCCGTACTCGAGCTGCCGCGACGGAAACCACGTTGCCTTGACGACGACTGCAAACGCGCCTTGGCCGAGAATCGCGAGCGGTTCGTCAAACTCGATCGAGGCTGGGTTGATGGCCTTGAGGCTCAGCCCGAGGTCGAACCGCGTCCGGAGCCGAAAGTAGCTCCACAGCGCGACAACACTCGTGAGGAACCCCTGCAGGTCGTACGGGACAAACGTGAGCAGCATCAACTCTGTCTTGACCCGCATCGCGAGCATCTCGTCCTTGGCGAGCTTGAACCAGGCAACGGTCTGGCTTTGGGTCTCTTGGTCTGGCAGCTCGCGCAAGATCGTGAGCAGCGAAAACATAAAGAGCGAGATGCCCCACGTCACGACAAACACGACAATGTGGTGCGTCGCGACCGACTTGAACGTGCGGCGGGCGTTGGTCGGGTACAAGTCTTGAATCTTGCCGCGAATGCGATAGTAGAGCACGGTGACGGTACCGAGACCGACGGCGGGCGCGATCATGTTGTTGAGCATCTGCGCTTCCTTGCTCATGCACACGTACATGTTGTACTGGCACTGCGTCGGCGCGGCGTCGTGCGTGGTCCATGAGATCGCGATCGCCACGGCGCACGACATGGCCACGATGACAACGATCCACCGGTTCAGCATCTTGTCGAGTTGACGCGAGTCGCACAGCGCTTCGACTGGCGACCCCACCGACTGCAACAGGCGCAGCGTGATTGCAATCGTGAACGCGATCTGGCTCAAGTTGAACGACGTCGTCAAGATGCTGCTGGGGAGGCCGCAGTAACTCGTCGTGTTGCACATGAACGACGAGTTGTTGGCGCGCGGAGCGACGATGACGGACGCGTTCGCCCGACTCGTCGTCGAGTTGGATGCCCACGGATCGACCCGGTCCTGCCACTCGGTGATGAGTGGCGCGATCGCAACATAGAATCTGGACGTGAGAAACCCGAGCTGAGACAACAGGAGCGGCATGAAGAGCGGCATCGAGTTGAACCGGAACGTGCGTTTGAGGACGTAGCACAGCATGACGGTGAGGACGCCGAGGATGCTCAGGACGCGGCACGAGTTTGGCAGACTGTACACGAGCATGTCCCACGACGTGATCTCGGGGACCCACGTTTCGTTGGGCAACGTTTTGTCGTCGGTGATCTCCTGCTGCAGGACAAACCCGAGAAACACCATCGCGGCAAATGAAATCGCGACAATCACGCACACAACGAGCATGCGCGCGGGGCTGTATGCGCGGCACCATCGCGTCGTCCAAGACGGCGACACGTCGCCGGACGCCTCACCATTGTCGTGACTTTGCAAGAACGAAAACCCGCTGCTACTGTCGATGCTGTTGTCGCCGACAATCACGTCATCCAGGTCAGACGGTCCATACAGTGCGTCGTGGCCGAGCTCCAAGACGTCCGGGGGTGGCGCGAAGTTGCCCTGGACCATCGATCGATTCGTGGTGGTGGCTGGCGCAGGCTATCGGCGGCCACCACGCGAGCGGCACTCCAAACGAAATGGCACTTCGCCATGTGACACCGTAAACGGGGCAGGTGATTCCACGAGCCAGTCCACATACAAGAGAGTGGCGGAGGCCACTCTCATCTACTCTCTTGGGGTCGCATCGGCGCGCCGCCAGCGCATGGAAGACCCCGCGCGTTGACCAGCGGTCTCTGCATGCTGTCGACGTCGAGATGGCCGACGGACAGGTTTAACTCGCCTCGATCGGCACACGGAATTCGCGCGCAGGAGCGGTATCCACATTGCGCAGGAACAGCTGACACGACGGCAAGGGAGGGTGGGCTACCCTTGGACGGGTGTACGCGGCCAGCTTTCATGCCGGACGACGACGTGCGATGGTGCGTACGCCGGCCCTGCACGGACGCTGGTGTCGGCCACCGCCGCCCCCTGTTTCGGCATGGACGTTTGCTATCGTCTTCGATGATGCACAGCGAGTGAAACATGCATTCATGTTGTGCGCTGCGTCCTGAGAAGAGGCGAAGCGCCGACAGTCTTGGCTCCCAACGCTGTAGCAAGATCGCGGACATCGGTTGGCCGAGCCCTTGCGTTGGGACTCGGTCCTGCGCCGAGCCGTAGGGACGCCATACAACCCCCCCCCGTCTCCCCCAACGACTGTCGCCACCGCATACGACCTGCACAAGTCTCCGTTCGCTGCTTCGTCAATCGTGCGGTCGCCCAGTTGGATCAGAACCCACCGCAGTACCATCTACGGCTCGAGTAGCTCGAACGAGACGTCGCGCCCTTTCCAGTTCCGAGGGTGGCTTTGTCCTTCGTGGGCTCAGAGCTTGTGGCGAGGCACAGCGCCGACCATGGGCCTGCTTGCTTGGTACGAATTCGACAGCGAGTGGAGGCAGTACGATTCGTTCGATTGCAACCATACAAGTCAACACGCCGCCGCCTCCGTTTGCTGTGTCGGGTACCTTGAACGTCGGTGCGCCACGCACCACGATTTTTCTTTCCGCAGCTCGTCGTACCAACTCGGCTGCGCGCAGCACGTGCAGATGCACATGCAATCGTCCCCTGCGCCGCAACACGGGTTGCTCGTATGCATGTTCGTTGGAGATGGAGTTTCTTGGGCGATGATATCCATGCAGCACTCGTACATGCCATCGCACGGCCGTCGAACAACGGCGCTGCTAGGGCCATGGCTTTCGTACATGTTCAGGGCAAACATAGCTCAAGCCTACGTTCGACAGGAACAGTGCGCCAACCAGCCGCCTCCCGCCGCAAACCCCCATCACGGAGAGGCCAACCCTCGGCTTGGGTTCAACATCTCTCGCGGTTTCGCCGAGGCAAGGAAGAGCGCGATGACGTTGTCTGTGTCGCGCCGCCCTGGTGAACCATCATGCCGCCAGTATCCCCATGTCCTCCGATCCAAGCTATCAAGCGAAGGCTCGTGCCAAGCGAGCCACCAGAGCCAACAAGCCCCTGTGGTATGCGAGCGACAAGGACTCGCTCGGGGCCACAATCAGCACCCCTCCTAGTTCCCTGCCGTGGGTAGCCATGGCTTCCTTCACGCGCGACTGCAACAAACATGATGTGGTCTGTTGAGCCACAGCGGCTATGACCAGAATGCGTCCGTGGGGAAAAAGCCCCAAGCGCGTGCCGCGGCCACATGATGCGTGAATCGATGCAGGACCCACACGCGCATCAAGCAAATCGTGTCGGCCTGTTGTGGGGACTGGAAAAAGCCCACATGGCGTGTAAGTAGGATGGCATTATGGCTGGTTGGACTGTGTCTGGCGCTGGAGCTGGCGTGCAATGTGGATGATCTCGTCTTGGTCGATGCTGGGGGGTCGCACTTTTTTGCGGTATTTTTGCCACACGACAAAGCCCCCGGCGCAAACGACCTGCGCGTCGGAGTTAGGACATGGTGTGTGCAAGAGGGGGGCGAGGTCCCGCCGTACCATCAACGGCGCGCGCACCCACGTGACATCGTAATGCAGGGCATCGTGTCGCATCAAACTCTCGTGTGCGACGACAAACGTCGAACCGTTGTCGAGGCGCGACGACAGCATGACGAGTGCATCGTGGGGCTTGTCCTTCATCACCAGGAGCGTCGTTCGCGTCGAGTTGTGGTGGGCGCGCCAATCGACGGCGAACATCCGCTTGGCGACGTGAGTGTCGACGAGTTGGTAGCCAGCAAACGTGTGATTTGCCACGATAAACAAGAGGCGCGGCAGCGATCCGAGTTGAACGGTCATGGTGTGGCCGGTGGCGGACCGCATCGAGACTGGGCCGACGGCATCCCACGGGACTAGTTGATCCTGGATCGAGCATGGCGCGTGCGGGTGTCGGCGCTGGGAAAACGATCGGTGCAGTTGTAGGACCAGCACGGTCCCGCCAGACGTACCAGCATATAAAATCGACGGTCGGTGGACGTCGCGCTCCAAGCTAATCAATGGATGCGCGGATCCCGAACACACCTGAACGGGGTAGTCCCACTGCGGAATGTTCAAGACGCCAACGGTCGTGCCCATCGCAAACGCAATGCTCCCGCCAAGAACGCTCGCGAGAGCAACCACGGGCTGTTGCAACGACATGTGGTGCACGCAATGGCCACCGTGCCCAAAGATAGAGACATCCCCGAGATCCGTCGCAACGACCACGAAAATGTCGTAGCTCACTTGTACGAGCAGAACCTTGGCAAAGGAACGAGAGCGAGGGGTTTGATACAGTCGAAAGACGTCCACATGCAAGCCAACGGGAGCGGGGACGCTGGTGACCTTTGGCAGAGGCCTCCCCCACTGGAACGTTTTGGGGGTAGCTGCCACAGCTTCAATTAAACACACGGCGCGATCGGTCGGTTGGTCGCGCGGGGGGTCGCCGACGCGAAGGCGGCCGTGCTCAAACACTCGAACGGCAAACACAGTGACGTCGCCATGAGAAGACACAACTGCGACAATGCTTCGAGTCCCCGTTTGTTGGTGGATGGACGTGATCGACTCGACGCGCGTCTGGATTTGCCACACGAGTCCGAACGTTCGGGGATTGCGCAGCTCCAGGAGCCCATCCGATCGAGCAACAGCCAAGAAGTCGATTGTTTCGATGTCGGTGTCGACAAGCTTCCGTCGCCGCCCAGCCACGTGAACTCGCCACGACAGGAGCTGAAACGCCACGACATCCGGCCCAAACATGTGCGACGCCTTGTCCACTAACGCTGTGTCCAACCCGTGAAGTGGGTCCGCCAAGGGCGCTTCCATGGGTTGCCATGCTTTGAGACCAATTGAGGCAGTGGTATCGGTGTTGGACTCGAACGTCGGCATCTTGCGCTGCAACACTGTAGCGAATGCCGCTGCTTGTTGCCTGTACAATCCCAACAACGCCTCCGTTTCCTGGATCTCAGTATCAAGGATGGTTTGCACGAGCGTTGCGCCCGTGTCGTTTTGGGTTGCCGACGCTACCCCGGCCAGAATCAACGCCGTCCGCCACCGCATCGCACCAGCGTCGATAACGCGCCGTTTCGGGAAATTCGAACGAGTTGTCTCGGCCCACGTGCATGACCACACTTGGCATGGTGCTGGTTTTTTAAGGTTGCACAGGCTTGCATGCAGCACTTCATCACACACCACAATCACACTGCGAACGAGACTGCGTCAGCGGTACATGTAGTCAACTTGGCGCACGGCCGAGTTCAAGATTGGCGCACGTCGCTGTCTGTTTCATGGTAGCACATCCTAAATGGGCAATCGCACATCCATACTCATTCCGAGTAGAACCCTATTTAGGACTCGTTCGAACTCTGAAACCCAGTTGGACAACTTTTGAATTTACAGGACGCGAATTGCTCTGCTGCACAGCGCGCAAAACGCATCGGCCACGGGAAGTGGGCGTAAAGGATATTGATATGTCGATGCTTTGAACTTCGTTGAGTGTGTAGTGTTGCTGTTCTTTACGCCATCGAGCTCTGCAATCCATCCAAAGGAAGGAATTACCGTTTCCGCCCGTTCTTCCAACGCTGGGAATTGATGTTCTTTTAAACACTTAACTTTTATGTTGTGCATCGAGTCAGTGTGCCCGAGCGGTCCAAGGGGGTAGACTCAAGTTCTACTGTGTTCGCACTCGTGGGTTCAAATCCCACCGCTGACAAATCTTTTTCCTGAATGTCGTGCATACGGGGGGGCGTCGAGGAAGCAAGCTCCCAACGCGCCACGAAGCCTTTCCAAAACGCGCTCTCTTCGAACTAGCTCGCGTCAGTCTCCGGGAATAGTGCATTGTGCACTCTACCCGTCCCCCCCCCTTGGATGTGTCCCGACGTTTCATCGTGAAAACTGTTGTGGTTTCGTCCTGCGAGGGCGACGCACCATGGACATCATGATGGTGCTGAGCACCGACGACGTCAAGCGCCTCAAGAACAAGTTTGTGCGGCCGCTGAGTGTCGACGAATTCGTGTTCATCATGATTAAATGCCTCCACGACCACATCCACAACGAAGTATGCGTCCATGGGCGGTGGCGATCCATCACATGACTCGTGAATTCTCCCTATAGCTAGAATTTGTCATGTCGGTGATCGAGTTGTACGAAACAATCGACGTCAACGGGGACGGGTCGCTCGAGTGGGACGAGTTTGCAGGGTACGGCCTCCCACGGCATGTCCGTCCGCCGTCATGGAATCTGGCGTCGCAGGTACATCGTGGATGCGGGGATTGCCAAGGCCGAGGAAGCGATTGTCGCGCAGTCTACCATCAAGCTGTACAGCCCGTTGGTGTTCAAAGGGGGCGCCGCCAACTCCATTCAACCCATGGTCGCGGACCGCACGTACATCCAGCAAGTGGCGATATTAGCTGGCCGCCAGGCCTTGGCGTACTTTGAGCATGGGTCGGACGTCGTGCACATTTACTTGTTTGGCCACGATCGAGACGCAGAGCCACGGTTTGCGTCGACGATTCGACTGCACACGGCGTATCAAGCGCATAAGGTACACTGCGATGAGTCCCTTGCTTTCCCCCCCGACGCCCCCCCTTGCCAACCCACGACGTCAGGTGCTGTGCATCGAAGACATTGCAACGCGGTCGAGCCTGGCCATCTCGTCACTCCTAACGATGGGCTGCATCACGCTATGGGACGTCACCCGCCTGTACAACCCGATTCCCCTGCAACGAATCGACCTGACCGTTCCGCAAGAAACGCTGACATGGGTGCCGTCGCACCAACTCCTGCTCGTCGCCACGACGCAGTCCACGTACAAGAAAGCGAGCAAAAAGCAGCATCCGTTTGCATTCGTCACCGCGTTTGATATTGCAACTCTGGAGCGCGTTCCGCTGGACGTTGGCATCAAGCATGTGACGTCCCTGTGTGTGGTGAAGCGGTCGACGCGAACGGCCGTTGCGCTCGGGTCGATGGACGGCACGATCACGGTGCACGACATGGCCAAGGAGAGCCAGCAACGACGCCACGATATCGTAGTCGACGCGCACGAGAAAGGTGCAAGACTATAGATGGATCGCTCTGCAAGGTCCAGTCGGTGTCACTGATGTTGCCCCGTGTGTGGATGACGTAGGAGTGAAAGCGCTCGCGTACTCGGTCAAGTTTGGATATCTAGCTAGCATTGGCCACTACTCGTTTGCAGAAGAGTCGACGATGGAGGTGCTTGTGTGGCACTTTGACGATGGCGACAACGCCACGTCAACCGTCCGCCTTGACAGAGCATTGAGCGGTCACCATGCGGCCGTACGTTTGATATGGACCATCCGTTTTGGTTTTGTCGAATGGACGGCTGTAGCTGTGCGCGATCACGGCGGTCGACTGCGAGAGCCACTTGGTGTCGAGCGATGAAAGCGGCGTGCTTCGAGTGTGGAGCGTCTCGACATGGGCTTGTTTGCAGGTAGATTCGATCGCCGAATGCAGCGTGATCGCTTGACGTGGCTAGACATTTCACACGTTGCACGTAAACCCGCTGCGATGCCAAGTCGTATGGCCAACATCGCCGCAAGCGGATGCGTTGCTGCTGTGCGTCGGCAAGTCCGTCGAGTTCCACGACTGCGCGCTTGTCCGCGAGCGCGAAGACTTTTTGTTTGTCGACTTTAATGCGACCTTCAACGTCATCTTGGCGGCGACCTGTACAACAACGCGGCATGTCTGGCCGCTCGACCTGATGTGTCGACGACGTAGACCATCGGCTCATCCTGTGGGACTTGGCGACGGGCGATGTGCGCAAGACGTACGAGCTGCACGTGATCTACCACGGCAGACCGGCGCACAGCATCACGGCGGTGTGCTTGGACGATCGCGAGCGCAAGCTCATTGTGGGGGACGATGTCGGGCAAGTCCTCGTTGTGAATGTCGTCAACGGCAACCTCATGAAAGAGCTCGACCCGCATGCCCAAGCGGTTCGTCAGCCCGACATGGCGCTGGCATCCATGACAACTGCACTAGATTTCGTCGTTGGCGTACGTGGCACGGGCAAAATGCGTCGTGTCCACTGCCGTCGACTCGACGATTCACATTTGCGACGAAAACAACGCCCACGGGTACTATGTGCCATTTGCAGGGGCGCCGTTGTCCGTGCTGCTGCGATCGCTGTGCTTGTCTCCAACCGCCGCGGCTCCCCTACGGCATCATCCCCGCCGTGACACAGTTCGTTTGTTCTGCCGTGAGCATGGTGACCTGACGGGGGATTCCCATCGGCATAGATTGCCATCGCAGCGCCCATCACGAACGCCACCTCGACACCGGACATGGACATTGTCACAAGTGTCTCCAGCGACGCGCTTCGACTCGTCGCGACCGTGTCATCGTGCTCGATCGGGGTCCGTCGCAGTTCGAGCCACCTTTGTGCTAACGCGTGGACGGCAGGAGAGTTACATCCAGCTGTGGGACTTTGACACGTCTGCGCTGGTGCAAACGTGCATCGCGCCCGACCCGACCGCCGATATCAGCTGTGTGGCATTTCTCCAAACATACCCTGGTCTCGTTGCTGGCGTCAGCACGGGCGATGTATACCTGTGGGGGGTGCGACCGTCGCCTGGAGCCCCCGCTGCCTCCACGTACGTGTGTATGGCCCTGAATCATGTCGGTGTTCAGGAAATTGCGTACAGCCAACGTTGCCTTTTTCAACTTGTACGTGGCTGCTCCCCAAGGGCAGTGTCGTCGCAGCCTTCAACCAGTCCAGGAACTGCCATCTCGAGCATTTTGACCGTGCCCGACCCAGTACGCGCCATCCATTGCTGTACACTTCAGGCGGGGCATCGCTCAACCAGGAACTCGTTTGTGTGGAGAATTGGTGGCATGCGGACCATCGCCATGACAAACCAGTGTATTTATGTTAGGCGAGCGGCGATTCCCGAGGGGTGATGGTATTTGCAGGCGACGAGGCGGGCGAAGTTGTGCGGTGGACGCTTCCGTACTCTGCCGTGGTGGAAAGCGGCCTATCGGTCCGCCATTCCAACAACATGGACGATAACGATGACGGAGACGACGCCTCGGCCGAGACGACGTTTGTGACGGCGGTACCGGCAGCGCGACCGTCGACTGCGAAACGAAACAGCACCCCGACTTTTGCGCCAGCAGTTGCGTCGGCAGCACCAGCAAATCCAGGACGACATACACACGTCGACGTCACATGGGATACCATGTCGAAATCCATTCGAACCGCTAAGCTGTCGACGATTGCCGCGCCACCGCAGTCGGTTGGGAGCGACGTCCAGTGGCAAGTGGACGGCGGCGCCATCACCAAACTCGCCCGGGCCATCTGCACCGAGGACAAGTTGACGATCTTTACGTGCGTCGCCACTGGGAAAATTCAAGCGTGGAGCGTCGACGGCAATGACCAAGGCACACTGGATTACTTTGCCACGCGCCGCCAGCCAGGTGAGGCACCGTGCCGAGTTCGTCCACCAATTTGGGAAATCGAATCGGTGTAGTGCATGCGCCGTGGCGGGTCCCTGTAGACGGTTCGTTGCGCCAAAGAGCACAGGAAGCTCGGGCGAAGGCCGTGCTGCAGCAAGTGCGGGGCGTCACAGCGCTGCTGCAAAACATGGATGGGAAGGGCTCCAACACGTACGGCCCCACCAGTGTTCCCAATAAGGTACTTCGACGCTCAGCAAAGGGCCACGTAGCTCGAACGACGGGACGTTCATGTGCCTGAATTGTGTAGTCCAAGCCGTCAACACCTGCATCATTTACCGGCCGCCTGCCACAGCACTCCGCGAGCAGCACCGACGACGTTATCACACCACGAACTGCTGCCCGATACCAAACCCTTGGTCAGCTTGTGGCTCGCAAGGAACGGCGGGCTCTTCGCGCGCCCGATGACGAAGAGTCTCAACTCAATGCATCCCTGGGTAAGCCAACTTGATGCGCACAGCGTTGATGTCTGTCGTAGATGTCGTGCTGCATGACATTGGCAAGTTAAACCATGTGACGCGGTCAACACACGCGCGCAAGAAGCGAACGATCCACACAGTCGACAGCATCATGGAACGGTCGATATCCATGCCGGCGTTACCACCGAAGGCTGCGGCTTCAATCAAACCCGATAAACCGATCAAGGTGAAGGTCCCCTCCAAGCACTTGCTTCCACCTCTGGACCTGCGCCAAGAGATGGCCGACCTCGCTTTACTCAAGCAGCAGGAAGCGGCGACGAACTCGCCGGACGCAGACAACCCCTCCACACTGTCTGTCCTCAGCTACCACCTGAAGCTCGCCCATGCATGGCAGCAATAAACTACCTTCGATTAAGCCAATCAGAACGACGTATTTCCATGAAGATGCGTTTGATTGGCCAAAAATATAACTGTCATCGCGATGCAATGTCGCGTGAACAAGATGAGCCGCCCCACAAGGCGCGGCACCGCACACCGCAACCACACGGGGGGATCTGCATCACTGGATCACCGCATTCTTGGACCAGTACGCCACGGCTTCCAAGTACGCTTCACGCTTGAGCGGGACGCCGGACCCGCCTTCATCCTTGCCGAGTGCATTCCGCATCATCGTGATAGGGTTCATGGGGAGTTCGTGTGGCACGTTCTGCGCTTTCACCGAAATGATGCCCCACGGAACGTCAGCGTTGACTGTGTCGGGGGTATGGCCGGTGGCGCGGTGCTCGGCCTCAATTTGCTCACGGCTGTACAGAATCACGTCGAGGTATGTCGCAATTCCAGGAGTAACTTGCGACAGCGGAAACCATCGCGTCAGCCTACACACGACAGGAGCCCGATTAACAAAGGTGGCTCCATAGTATGTGCAGGACATACACGGGCAGCTCGGTAGGCACGCGCGAGATGTAGTCGCTTTGCAACAAGTGCGCATTGTCAGGAGTAATCGTCGCAGAACTCAAACGCGCGCCAACAAAGTTGGGAACAAACAAGTGCTTGCAAAAGGGAGCGTAGCTACAAGGATCCCAATCATGAGCATGCTTGAATCGAGGAATTGACAGACAAGTGGAGATGTACCCATCGACGAGGGCCACGTCGTTGTTGTCGAAGAGTTCGTTGATCTTGGCCTCAAACGCCATCTTGTCATGATGCAGCTGCGTCCCTTTATAGTTTGGGTCGTCGAACTGGCGCAAGCAAAACGCATCTACCCATGTCCACACGATCAAGCGCCATCAACCGGGACTACTGTCGCATTTGCCACACATACCAAGCGCGAACTTCCGCGGCATCCTGTGAGCGGTTCGGCCAACAGAATTCATCCGTAAGTGAGCGAGGGTATCCGGAAACAAAATGCCGACTTGGAAAATTCACTCAAAATCGATCGATCCAAACGATATTTTCAATCGACGGTGTTCGATTTTGTCTTTTTGAAAGGTGGAAATAGGTCCGACAAAGTGTGTATCAAAAGCAGGGCTGGGAATATCTCCACAACCTCATCGACTGGATGGGATATGGAGGCGAAGGAGACCACCTTCGCAGACCGCCCGTAGCTCTCATGGGCCGTGTGTACTCGTTACTCGTAGTCTCGGGCAGCTGGGCTACCAAGTCCTAGCAGCGTCATTTGCACGACAAAGTGACGATATGATTTTGAATTGATCAAAAGCTGAAATTTTTCATAAAAATATGACCAAATTTAATGACGCCAATACTCAGATTTCGCCCGACTCAGCACGTTCATAATCGAGTTTTCTATAGGTGCAGCACGATCGCTTGCGCGCTCTAGACCAGAAGTGCCACGTCGTTGTTGCTGATGGAGGGTGCTTTCGCGCGGAAGAACGAAGGGGACGAGAGGGACACACGCTTCGGTCATGCGATAATGTGGCTCTGGCATGGAAGTTTTGTGACTCGGCAGCACACGCGCGGCGCTCTACTTCTGTCCAGAAAAGTGGGAAAAAAATGCAAGAAAATCAGATTTTTCGCTGGGCTGGCTATATTTTTTTTGGAGAAACAGCCACCTGTTCAAGCAATACGGGTTTGTGTATGGAATCGGCGTTGGCGCGGAAGCCACCATCGCCTCCGGTCTGCGCGACGACGAGCTCGTCGGAAGAGGCGGCGGGCATGGACTTGGGCGCATATCGCGCAAGGTCCTGGACGCCAGATGCACTCGACCTGAGTGCGTGCAAGTACGTGTGTCGACTCTAGCATCACGAGGTAACGACGCGGACAACTTTTGATACCTCTAGGGACCGTGGCGACAGCGACAGCGACTTCTCGTTTCTTCAATCGCCCACGAAAAGTGCACCGACTGAAACCGAGTCGTGGCAAACACGGTGCTTCCGCGTGTACACACCCACGCGCATGTTTGTCGCGTGCATCTTGGTGGCGGCAGCCATTGCCGCCAGCATCTTGCTAGGCTACATCGTTACGTCCGAATTCAACGCAGTCACGCCGACGACGACCCCCGCTGCAAAAGGAGCCACGAATTCTGCATGGTCAGGGTTCCACAAGACGGCGTGGGACGCGATGATGTTCAGCCTCCCCAACACGTGCCGGATCCTGTCCCTGTTGAGCGTCACAAGCGTGCTGCTGTACTACACGTGGGCGGATACATTTCGATTCAACGCGATGCCACTCATGCTACCTTTGCTGCTGTCGCAGCTGGGCCTGCTCACATCCAAGTTCCTCGTGGCCGTCGCGTCCATCTTCTCACCCGACGACGTTATCACGACATCGACGAGATTCAAGGGTGCGTACGGCCCAATGTGCAAATCCACCGTATACTGCGGCCTCCCGAGCAGCATCCTCACCACAACGTTCAACTTGAGCCAGATTGCGTTCACGATTGCAATGACTCTGCAGCTCCTGCAGTCGGTGGGGTCGCCCGTCGAGGCGCTGTGCGACACCCGGCAAGTCGATCGCAAGACGAGCCGATGGATTGTCGGCATACTGTCAATGTGCGTGGCTGTGGCAGTAACTATTTCGTGGACGACAGTGCCTCCCGTGCCGACGTCCGACACGTGTCAGTACAACCCATGGGTGTGCACGAGCGACGAAACACGGCTCTTGAACAACATGATTGCGCCCGCGATAGGTCTTGGCACAGTCACACTGCTCTACTTTCGCATTCGCAACAAGATCCATGGGCTGTACCCCAAGCACGCCCGCCGCACGTTCAAATCGGTGGCTACATACTTGATTGTCGTGTTTGTTGTCACGTGGGGCATCTCCCTCGGCATGTTTTCGGTCTTGACCATCCTGCGCGAGCTGCCCGACCATTCGCCGAAAGTCCAGCCTGCCGAATTTCGCCAAAATTCGCAAAGTGCCATCAACGCGATCAAGCGGAAGGTTCAGTTTATGCTACTCACGTTTGTCCCGTACGACCTGCAGGGGTTCCTCACGAGTGTTGTCGCGCTGTGGAGCTACTTTCGGCTCCGGACGCGGTTCGACCTCGGGCTGAGCCTCAA